CCGCCCTCAGTGTCCCCGCCTCGGCTCAGAAACACTGGCGTGGAGGAGGGACCCCTCGCGGACCCCTCCGCTGGCTGCGCCTCAGGCTTGGGGCGGGGGGGCGGCCCCCGTTTCCAGGGGTGATCGTGGAGCCTCGGGTCTGTGAGCGAGAGAATGCGGGCGTGTCCCCCAGACGGCCTGGTGGCAGGAGGCAGGAGGCGCGGCTCGGTCCCGTCTCGGTCTCTCCTTTTGCAGCTCCCGACCTGGCTGCTGCCCTTGGCTGAGCTGGTAGCAAATCAGGGCTCCTGTTTGCAGGCGTTTTCATTTAATCCCGATAGCTTCTGCCTGAGGTGGGACTTACCCCGTTCACCAGCGAGGTAACTGAGGCCCAGGGTTGCACTCTCCAATAGAAATACAGTGCTAGCCTCATCGGAGATTCTGCATTTCCTAGGAGCCACATCGGAAAAGTAAAAAGAGCCGCGCCGGTGTGGCTCAGTGGTTGAGCGTTGTGGCCCCACGAGCCGGGAGGTCCTGGTTGGACTCCGGTCAGAGGGGGTTTCGGGCTGGATCCCCAGTAGGGGGCGGGCAGGAGGCAGCCGATCAATGATTCTCTCTTGTTGATGTTTCTCTCTCCTCCCTTCTCTAAAGTCAATAAAAACATTTTTTTAAAAAAGCAAAAAGAAATCCGTGAAGTCAATATTATATTCTATTTAACCCAGTTAAAAAAATTTAACATGTAATTAATATGAATTGAAATTAACTTTAATATTATATTGTATTTAATTCAGTTTTCAGAACACAGATTTCAACATGTAATTAATGTGAAAGTTATCAATGAGATATTTTACATTCTCTTTTTGGTACCAGTCTTTGAAATCCTGTATGCATTTTATTTTTTATTTTTATTTTCTTTATTGATTAAGGTATTACATATGTGCCCTTATCCCCCCTTGCTCCCCCCTCTCCCCTCCCTCGTGTCCATTGGTTAGGCTTATATGCATGCATACAAGTCTTTTGGTTGACTTCTCCCCCTTCCCCCCACCCTCCCCTACCTTCCCTCTGAGGTTTCAGCATCTGATTGATGCTTCTCAGTCTCTGGATCTGTTTTTGTTCATCAGTTTATGTTGTTCATTATATTCCACAAATGAGTGAGATCATGTGATATGTATCTTTCTCTGAATGGCTTATTTCACTTAGCATAATGCTCTCCAGGTCC